AGCTAAATGGATGGTGGTTGATGTTTTTCTCTTCATTTTTCGGACGTACAGAGCACTATCACACCAAAACTATGCTGCACGACCGAAGCAAAAAGCAAACGAACAGAAGTGAAGAAGAAAAACCGAGTATCCCCGATATGAAACAACAAACTGCTGCCCATAATGTAGTTGATACACGACGTTTTTGATGTTCATATTTTTACTATTTATTTTTCGGTCTTTTGTTATTGTCTCGCAGCCACCGAAGTGAACTAAAAGCTTCCATTTATTTTGTGGCAACACAGCAAATGCATTACATATACTCCGGTTGTTGTTGTTGTCGTCGTCGAAGTTTGATGTAAGGAATAGCGCGCAAAATCTTTCTCTCTCTCTTTCTCGCTCTCTGGCAAATATGTGAACAAATTCGAGCATAGAATATTAACAGTTAAGTGAATCCCATATGTATTCGGGTGCGTTTTTTTTTCATCATCATCTTCTTCTTTCATTTCGCACTCACTTTCAGTCTCTTCTCCCAAATAATTACATAATGCGGCTAAAATGCAAATACTCGCAACAACACACACCGAGAGAGAGAGAGAGAGAGAGAGAGAGAGAGAGAGAGAGAGAGTCATAGAGAGTGAGACAGAGCCCGAAAAGCATTTTTCAGCTCTATCTCTACTGAAACGAGATGTGCAATATGATTATTGTATGAAACAAATACACGCGCCAAATGCTGAACGAAAATAATAACAACAACATCAGCCAAACGAACGAAACGAATACGAACTGAACACAGAGAATGAAACGAAGAAAAAAAGACGTAACAACAACACACCATTCAGTCCAATCAAATTTAGTGATGGAGGCGGAGCTGCTAAATTTTCTCGAATTTACTTTTTTTTTCGGTTGTCGTTGTCGTTGTTGTTGGTTGTTTTTTTTGTTGCTCTTCGTTGGCATTACTTTTTGCCTTTCGTGCGAACACGAATTTTAAAGAGTTTTATTTCGTTGGATTTCGTTGGTTTTTTGCTACTGTTGTTTTTTCGTTGTTGTTGTCGTTGCAGCCGCCGCGGTCGTTGTTGGGACGAAGCTCGCTATTTGTAGTCGATTTGTTTGTATGCAGCGCGCGCGAACATGATTTGTGTGATCATTTTTCGAGAGTGCATGGAGTATCATGATGGCTTTTTCTCATGTTTGAGCGAATTCACATGGATTTTTTTAGATTTAAGTGTACCGTGTCTCTCAATTTAAGAAATATCGTGTCTCTCGGCATATGAAATGTTCGAGAATCGCTTCTTTTTGCGTCAAAGACATGCGTTGAGTTTGTTTTTTCAAGAGAATTATGATGTTCTTTTCATTCGATTTTCTTGTCACAACCGAAGCCAAAGTGTTATCTCACCCGAAGTCGGATTTTGTCACCTAAATTAAAACCGCGCATTTATAAGCCCGGCTATCAAAAATCGAATATTTAAGCGCCCAAAAACCGATTATGATCGCGACTCTCAATCATGTTTTTTTTCACTCGCTTCCTCTCGTGCTTCTTCTCCTTCAATGGCTCTCGCTCTTCTTCTCGCCTTCGTTTGCTGGTTCTCACTCTTTCTTTTGCTATTGTTTCATAGCTCTCCTCTCTGGCTTTTTGCATAGTCCCAGTCTCTCTCGTTCTCGCTCTCGTTTCCCACTCTTGTTTGCCCAATGCTCATTCGCATATTTCACGTTCACGAATCAGATTACACATTTGCAGCTCATTTATTAAATCATTGCCAATTAATTAATTCTAGTTTTGGTGTGTGAAGTCGCCAAAGAGAAAAAAAAAACAAAGGCAAAGCTTAATCCGCTCACTCAGTCGTTCCACCAGAGCGAGAGAGAAAAACACGATTCATGGCAGTTTTGCATCCAATGTGATCTTTTTCGTTGCTCTTTTCGCAGTAATGATTATGCTTTAAGCAGCAAGAAGATTACCAAATGGCCAAAAAATCAACCATTTTTCTTTTTATCTCTCGCAAAACAAAGCTTCCAAATGTAAATTAATGACGATTCAATGGATTTACGGAGGTAAAACTTACGAGTTGAGTTTTAAAGAAACAACCAAACTTACAAAATTAGTTTTGGTCCAAAACTTTTGCACAGAAAAGTTGAAGTTGTTCGGTCAATAAGTTGTCGTTTGAATTTCGAGAGACTTTGAAAATATGATTCAAACTTCCATCGCAAATGGGAACGAATTTGGGGAAAAGTTGCTGCTGAACGACAATTCATACTTTACAGTATTAATGTTGTTGTTATGGGTTGATGTGCGCTTTCAAAACATTCACATTCGGAGTATCTGTCTGTCGTTTTGTGGGATTGGTTTATACGCGTAGCGTATTAAAACGTTGCAAAAGCAAATCACACATTTTCTCTTTCTCTCTCACACACACACACACACACACACACGCGCGCTGAAAGTAGTAATTCGTGTAAATCGTGCAAATGAGCCCTAGCGAGCTTTGCAAAGTCGATCCCTCCGTGTGTCGTGTGTATGGTGCGCGCGCTCGGCTCGTTCAATCAGCTTCTTATGTACATCGAAGGAAAAGTTTTACTAAATGCGCACCACTTTCTTATTTCCGTTTCACAATTTTGCTTCGAAGAACTGAATTGTGTTGCACACACTTTATCTCTTCTTTTTTCCTTCTCTCTCTCTCTCCCTCTCTCTCTCTCTCTCTCTCTCTCTCTTTCGCATACATACAATTTGTGTTTGTAAAGCCAAATTGATGCTGAAAACCCTCGGCTGAAAATTTCTATACTAAAAACTTCAGTTTGTCATTTTTTTCACATTCATGTTAGTTTTTTTCCGTTTATTCTCACAATTATTCTAAAAACATATTTATTTAAGCGCATACATCTCGTTGAGAATGCCATTTTTGGCACATAAGAGCTTCCAATATGGTCTGTAGGCGATATATCTCTTTTGATTTGAAGCAAAAATATTCGGAAGAGTATGTAAGCCAAAGCGAATTTACATTGGTGCGAATTGGTGTTCGAGTGTTCGTTGTTAAAGACACAATCGAATCGCTCAGCCCTGTGTGTGTGTGTGTGTGCAGCGCAGTATATAGACGAAAAAGCGGGCAAAGATTTGGTTCGGTACAAATGATATCCAATCCACTGAGCGATAAAAATGAGTGTGTTGTTTTTTTTTCGTTGATTTGTTCGTTGTCTCTCGGTTTTTAGGAAAAATCGCACACACAGTCTCACCCAAAAAAATGGTGTTGGAGCTGTCACTTGGTTGCCCGAGAGCGCGCGCGGCAACACAATCAGCATTTTAGCCGTAGTATTATTTACTTCGATCCAGTGGAAGAGAGCAAACGAACCGTAGCACAAGCGTTAGTGGAGATGTGGAGAAAGAGAGGGTGTGTGCTCGATGCTCCCAAAAGGCGACAACGACGAAGCAAACAAATGAAAATACACACGAACCGAGAAAAGAAAATATACGGCAAGAGATAGAGAAAAAAACCCAACGAGAGAATATCCCCAATGCACACACATACAAGCAGCAGCAGCAGCTGTAGCAGCGTTAGAGAGTTAATTTGCTAGAGATAGAGTGCTGTGGAGCTCTTCACGTGGATAAAACACAGCAACACGAGAGCACGAAAAATGCTTATACGACTATATGGGTTTTAAATAAAAGGAAATAGCGATAGAGAGAAAGACGAGAGGCTAAACACCGTTTTGCGATTGGAACGGGTGGTGTTTCAATGAACGCGCATGATTCGGGATGTGGACGAGAGCAAATGAGAACGCGATATACAGTGTCAGAGTGGGAAAGGGTGAGAATGAGAGAAAGAGAGAGAGAGGGAGTGCGAGTGCAATACAAAAACACACACACCAAGCTCGAGGTTTTCCGCGCGCGCTTCATTTCAGGGTATATAACACAAAATACAGCAGATAAAAATATGAAAATCGCGTACAAATATATAAATGTGTAATTATCTCTCTGTGTCGCCTGGGTGTCCGTCGTTGTGTTTCGGGTATGAAATGTTGCGCGATCGACAAAGAGACAGAGAAAGCTGATGCTGCTCCTCTGAATGTTCAAATCGGACATGAGGATTTCTTACACAATTTCCATTTTTTTTTTTTTTTTAACAAATTTTATTTCCAGAGTTGATTTTCTTTTGCGTTGTTTTTTCTCGTTCACTTCATCGTCGTATTTGTTTCATTCGAATCCCGTTTGTTGAATTGGGCGATTTGAAGCACGCGCGCATTGATGTCTCTACATAAGTGGATCTTATCCAAAAAGATATAAAGACCCCCATAAAACGCAGTACATATACTATGGCTGACTGCGAACGTGAGAGAGCGAGAACGAGATAGAGAGAGAGCGAGAACGAGATAGAGAGAGAGAGAATGAACCGGAGCTAGAGCGCAGCCGATCTCACTGGATGTACTTTGTGTATGCTGGCTATTGGATGTGTGCATACGGCGATAAACCCGAACCGATACTCTTGTGTGTATCTTTCCGCTTTTTCATTTCTATTTATCAGAGAGCAACGATACACTGCTTTCGGGACTCACGTATATTTTGCTACCGAATTCTATATAGATGTGTGTTTGTGTGTATGTTTTTCCACACTGAATGCTTCAAGTGTGTTTACTACACTGGCTGTGACTCGGCCTTTGACTGTGTATGCGTCGAAACGTTTGCCATACATATGTGTGTGTTTGTGTGTATCGCTCGCTCGTACGCTATTGCCTGTTTCCTACATACCGTTTTCGTTATTGTCGTCGTATTCGTCATTGTCTCGTTTGTGTACGTACATTCGGGCTGACTGAGTAGAAGTGCCATGCAATATATCCAAAGGCAAACCTTCGAAACGAACCAAACTGTTTTCGATATATTTTCAGTGTGACTGACTGGCTGAGCGCACCGCTGTACATACGAATTCGAATCCAACCAAAACACACATTGCGCGCGCTCTCTCACACCGCTCTCTATCCGTTTTTTTGCTCTCGCACTCTGTGTGTCAAATGAACACATTTCTATATTGGGATTTAGTTGCGCGACAGCTACCGGTACGTTAAGAAGCCGCTCAACTACTCGATAACTCAATCGCTCTGTGCCGATATACACAACGATTTGAAAAACAGAGTTTTGTTCGTTTTTCGGATTTTCGCCGTTACAAGTTTTTTTTTTCGTCTGTTTTTGCTCGGCTCGTGGACAAAACACAAGTTTTTGTCAATCAATCTTCGTGCAGAAAAGACATCGTTACAACTGGGAAAAAATAATCATTTTTTTTCTGCGAAAAGTTCTTTAAATCCTGTTTATTTTTTAAGTCCACGTTTTTTTTAGTTGAAAAGAAAGAAGAAATTTTTTTCTGTTTGTTTGCGGTGCATATCGTGATTGTTAGTTGTGTTATATTTTTTGTCATTCGATCAAAATTTTCGGTTGGTTCTGTTTTTTTTTTGCTTCAACTAAACGCGAAACATTTCGAGAGAAGAAGAACTGTTGAATGAATAAAATCAAGATAAAAACAGACTGTTGACCTGAATTGATTGGAACAAAAAATTAGAGAGAGTTTTATGGATTCAAAACTGAACAAAAACAAAAAAAAATGGTAATAAGAATATTTGAATAAGAAGTTTTGTCAGAAATGATTTTTTCTTGAAGAAGTTTTGTGTTTTATCCTTTTTTTTTCGAACGATCAAAAAAATAGCCAGCCGTCTCATCTCGATCATCTCTAGCCAAAGTGATAATAATTGATAGAAAAATGCTCAAGAATGCGAAGAGAGATTCCAATGTTGGTTGGCCGCTTTTTTTTCTTCTCTTGAGTGACAAAGCGAGAGAGTGTGTGTGTGTGTGTGGATAATATCACACATATCATATGGTGCTGATGTTGTGGCATTGTGCCATCAATTATATGACTTGTGATGATTCTTTGGGAGCGCGAGGCTAGAGTGAGTGAGCAAGCGACAAATTAAACGCAGAATTACTGCAACGGGCGCTTCAATATCTTATATAATAATGTGGGGTAATTGATCAATCAGTTTTTATTAAACAATTAAAACAACAACAACAAAATACAATGGAGAGCACGGAGAGAGTGTGAGTTTGTGTGAGTGAATGAGTGAGTGAGTGACTGTCATGTCTCAAACCCAATCATAATTGGCACTAACAACTCTTTGCTTATTGTAGCCATATCGTCGATTGATTTCTTTAAAAACGACAATTGAATCGACATAGACAATTCTTTTTCCTTCACTCTTCCTCCTGTGCTCTCTATCCCGTTTTGCCTCCCGCTTGAGCTTTACCTCTCACTCTTCGCATTCTCGCTCTCCTTCTCACTCCCTCGATCTACTTCTCGCTCCTTCACACTCACTCTGCTTCTCACTCTGTCGAACTCGCACCCGCTCGTTCGCTTCAAACTCATAAGCTCAAGAGGACAATCTGTTATCGAACAATAATAATAACCGTTTAATAAATTGAACGATTGGCAGCGAGAGGTAGTAAAAGTGTGCAAAATGCAAACAACAACCATAATCGCAAAGGGAAAGAGTGAAAAATGAAACCCCTGAAAATCATTTCGCATACTTTTTTTTTCCACGTTCATTCGTTTGAAAAGGTTAAGTACAAATTCAACGATTGCATTTCCTCAGTTCGATCGGTCTTAACCATTTTCTGTTGTTGCTGGTTTTTCTTTGCGTTTTCTGCTAATGCTCTGCTCATATCGCCGTTTATTGTTTCTATTCTAATTAAATTTAAATAACACACTATTAATAGCCCTCCCGAAACCGACCGAAATGTGTAATCTTCACACTTAGAAAACCTAGAAAACCCCCTTCTGTTTAATACGATTAAACACCGTGCAACACACGAAAGAAAAAAAAAACCAAACACACAGACACAACAAATCTTAACGGTCATCATGGGCCACAACAACATACAATGGACAAACAGACATTTTATGTGTCATATTTCTGCACTTTTCGCACAGTCAATCCACTCACGGAAAGGTGGCACGCTTACTCGCGCCGTTTCTTTGTCGTCACAGATATATTGAATCTGAGCTTTGTTGACAGTATTCAGGAAAGACACACAAAAAATTAGCCAACAAGTAAAACCAAACACACCGAAAAACCGCCGAGAAAGAAACAGAAAGGAGGAAAAGAAACGAGTTAATCCGTTGGCAATGGTGGCAAACCAAATGACATTATGCAAATGAATTATACAACTTGTCGTCAGTTCGTTCACTGATTTTCACAATTGCATCCATCCCAGCTCCGAACTCGCGATCAGCTCAATTAGTTCACCTGTGCATGGGTGCACGTCAAATCAGCGGTGGTGGCTCTTATTTTGGTGGCTTTTTTCAGTGGCTCTTTTTTGGTGGTTCGAAAACGGTTCATTTTTACAAAAGAATGAAGTTTTCATTTTAGAAGAAGAAATAAGACAATTCCCTCAGTGAGGAATTGCCTTGCCTCATGATCAAATCCGTGTTTTTTCAATCATTTCTGCTGCTTATTCAGTTTTTTCATAGTTCAAAATTGATTTCTTCAGTATTTCATTAAATCAAATATTTCCATATTTTTGTTCTCAATCCTCAGCATCCGAAGCTAATGTGAGTCGGCCGAAACTCAATTGAGATTTGTTAAACCTTCGAATCGCACAACAACAACAACTGAACCCATTTGTGTGTGTGTGTGTGTGTTTCTTTTCGCTCAGTTTGCTCTCGTTCTCTTGAACTATTCGAAGAAAGCGAGAGAAGAAGAAGAAGAAGAATCAAATCGCGTCGCACGAAACTGAAAATAAGCCAACAACAAAAAAATAATAATTCAATTAGCCACATATCGATACTGAGATTATGTGATTAGTACGGAAAACAATAAACAGTCACTAAGTAGCCGAAGTTCATTTCAAATCCCAAAACCGTTGACGACGACGACGACGAACAAGTCAAGAGAACGAAAAAGACGAAAAACAGCCGTAAGCACAGCAAGCCGGGGAGAAAAAAAGTGTTGGAATAAACTCATTAATAGAAAAGAAATTAGCAGCCGCCGTCGTCGCAACCGCCAACAAAAACGATAAACGAAAATAAGTCGATCGAAATATGCATCGACTGCACTGCGATGATGAATGAAATAAAAATGAAGCAAACACAAATCGAGTGCATTCAGACATTTTGTGTGGTGGCCAACGGTGAAATTTACTAAGAACACCACCGACAAAAAGCGAGAGAGGGAGACAGAGAGTGCAACAACACACATCGACCGACCGATCACGCCAAGAATGAACAGAATTGCGTAAGTGAACATTTATGGCGAACGAAATCGATTAATAAAAACTAATTAAGAGAAGAAAAAAAACACCAATAACAACACCCAGAAACAATTGAAATCACAAAATCTGAACTCAACAAATGCAAATACATTTTGCCAGATTTTGATTTAAAAAAAACAAGTTGAGCGAAGAAAAAAAAACAAACGAAATCAAAATTAAATAGAAAAGAAAATCTATTAAGAATAAGAAACAAGAAGTGATAACAAAAGGGGAAAAAATATACCAAATTAATATTATTTTAAAAAATCCCAATTGAATTAAGCAATGACGGAAAACACGTAAATTGTGTGATAAACAACAATATTAAAAACGGCTGAAAAACTAATTCAGTCGCCAGAAAGGCATTTTATGTGCAACATAGCAGAGACTTGTTTCATGTGAAAAAAAATACAAATTATTTCTAAGACTGTCGAGTTTTGATCAAGAACTAAGCAATTATTGTCGACTTTTGCTGAAAAAAAAAAAATTGAACGCGTCAACATTCTCAACGTACGAATTCCGAGATCTTCATCATCTGCGGCAGCAATCAACGATGGACTTTCAAAGTGCAATGGAAACATTTGCTGAAGCCTGGGTGGCAGCGAACGCTGGAGCAGTAGTTCCAACTCAGGTAAGCCACAATTCAAACATGTTTTCATCCATGATTTAAAATTTATTTTTGCGGCGAAATGTTTCTCCGTTTCGACTGGTTATGTTTCCGATGCCATTTCGATGGTTTTTCAAAATCGGCTGGACATCCACATCATTTATAACTGGGTGAAATCATTTATAACATTAGAACACAATTCAAAAAATAATAATCCGAATTAACGAAACGAAAAATCAGTCATACGGAATTAATTGTGTTAAAAAAGAGAAACAATTGAGAGATTAGGATTTGAACTGATTCGTATTCTAATTACAAAATTCGTGTTTTTTTTCCTCAATCAAATCCACACATTTCGAATGCAATCCGAATAATTCCGTTTGGATTTTAAGCCATTCATCTGCATCCGTTTGTATATTTCTTTGGTGTGTGTGTGATTCAGTCAATTTTTATTGGCACCCTTTTTTTCTATCTTGGTCGAAATAATGCTCTCGGCTCACACACGGTTCTTTAGTAGTGTTCATTGTATTCTGACTTCCTTTCTTGAAGCGAATGAACGAGCCAGAGAGAGAGAGAGAGAGAGAGAGTGAGAGAAAGAGAGACCGAGCAAAAAGGAGTGAGAAATGGAAAACAAGAGTAAGAGAGAGAAAGAGAGGGAGGGAGAGATTGAATGAAAAGAGGAAATCCAGTTGTAAATGTTAAATATTTGAAATGTGAGTAGAAATACAGTGAAATGAAGTCGCAACGCAAACTGAATCATTTCAGTTTAGATGCATGCAAATCTGTCTTCACACTCTCTTCGTGTGTATCGGGCGAGATTGTATTGAATAATAAAGGACCCAAATCGTAATCATACTAATTTTGGATTTTAACATTGTGATCACATTTCACATAGCGCATACACACATACATACATACACACCAGGTTTACCTATGAGGCTTAATACACAATTCGGCTCGTCGTTGAAAAATCGTCTTACATGCCTCGACCTTGGCAAGATTTCACGCACACTGACACTTACAGGCATCAAATGCACAAGAAGAAGCATCTCGCACAACATCCCCATGCTCGATTGAGCACACGGATGACAAACAATCGGGGCGAGCGAGTGCAAAAGAGAGAGAGAGAGCGAGTGACAAGCAAAGACTTCATCATAACACATACGGTCCGTCTCTCTCTCTCTCTCTCTCTCTCGGCTTGAAACTGTATTAATATTTTCAATTGATTTGCTACAAAGAGGTCATATGGACTTAAGCATGATTAATGAAATGGCATTAATGACGATACACGAAGACCGTGTCGTTCGTCATCTATATACACCAGTTTGTCAACAGGACACGTTTGACTTTTACGCACACACTCACGGCACAGTGTGAGTCTCATACGCAGAGATTTGGTTCAACATCACTTTTGGGATGTCGCAACAAAAATCTAACGAAATTTATTTAGAATCGAATCGAAAGGAAAGAAGAAAAAAAAAAGGAATCTCGTCTCATCTTAATCCGTACGTATATAATCGGCGACATTTCTTCGTGGCATTTGATACACTCACTCGAAGGGTAAAATTTTCTTTTGAATTGCAATCCTATTCGGTTGTGACACAACGACAGTGACAATCGCTGTGAGCTGCGAGTCTATTCGGTTGCTTTTCACGAGCCTCGGCTCTTAAATCGCCTGAATTGTATCGAAACAAATGCGATAATTCCATTTCAGATCTCGAGCCAACTCGATATATCCGATAAAGTAGCTAAATTTTTTTTTATCAGATCAAATGAGATGAATGTTGAACGAGGGCACCGTAATGTCAACGGTTTGGCAAACAAAGCAAGCAGCAGCAGCGGCCCTCGGTGCTGTGCGGCTGATGAAAGAATGCCAAAAGAATCGAATGCCTAATGATACCAAAAGCGAAGCACATACATACGACGACAGCAATCCAGGTGCAAGTCTTGATGTCACACATACAAATGGTGTACTAATTCACTTCTCTCTCGCAACGGATTCTCGGTCAATGGCTATAATGCTCCTTTATCCAGGCGAAATGTAAATAAATTGTTTAAGATCATAAATCAATGTTCAATTAGCAGCGTGTTCTTTTCTTTTCGGAAAGCGAAAAATCGGGTGAAATTCGAAGTGAAAACAATTCGGCATCGATTAAGGGAAGAAAGGTGAGAGTCGCTGTTGATGATGATGCGCACAGTATTTTCCCTTGTCCATACGTACACGACGCAAAATTCGAGTCATTTTTAATAAGATTTTCTCACACCGATCGATGTGAGTGTCCCTTCTCAAAAGCCAGATTATCCCATTTCCGTCGCACCAAGTCTTTTTTTTCTCTTATTTTTCTCTTTCCTTTTTATTTCACTCACTCTTAATCTATCTCTCTATTGCTGTTTTTATTTTCTACTCAATTCTCGCTTTTGATTCTAACAATTTATTTTTGATCACATTATCTTCTCGAAAAGTCATGAGCGTTGATCAATGTTTATCAATTGTGCGATCCATTTGTTGAATGAGAGAGAGAGAGAGAGAGAAAAGAAGAACAGAGAGAATATTGTTAGTCGATCGATGGTGATACGGATCATGTCGATAATTCGAAAGACTTTCCCCTCTGTACGACCGGTGCATTGAACATTCCAGCGCATTAAGAAGGTGTTAAAAACTCTCTCTCTCACACAAATACATAAAAAACCTATGCCTTTTTGTTCTTCTTCATTTCGTTGCGCCTAAATTTGCGCAAAGTCCATGAACAATAACAACAACACCCGAATGTGACAAATGATTCCACATGAAAAAAACACTCTGCTCTTTTTACTCCATCTCGATTGTGTTTTTTTTCGTTTTTCTTAAGACGAAATATCATGTCGAACATGACACACCGAAATAAAATAAAAACCGAACAAACACACACAACCGATTTTTTTTCCTGTAAAATTACACTTTGTGTGATTAACTGAGAATATGGCATTTGTCACAGCAGATTAGACAAATTAAATGAACAGGAAAGGAAGCTACCATTTTAATGATGACTTACACAATCGGCGTTTTTCTCTTTCTTCTTCTCTCTCTATCTCTATCTCATAATTCCGACACAAAGACACTGAACGAATCAACATAGAGCCAAGAAAAATGATTATTTAATCTGTTTGAACAACAGAAAAATAAATCGAATCGCTGGATTCGTGAGACATTTTTTTTTTGGATTGCACAACATTTCATCAAAATGAATCATTAGGATTCATATTAAAGTCAATTGCGATTCAAAAGCAGGGAAACAACTAATCGAAGGAACAAAGTCGAAGAGAAACATGTTTCTCTATATGATATGTATATCAAAGATGATGAAGGAATAAATCATTAAAAGGGAATTGAGGGCAATTCAATTTGAAGCCAAGCGAAATTTGACCAAATTTGACTTTGAAACTATGACAAAATGAGAAAATGCATAATCAACGTGAATTTCAAATGTGAAAAAAAAACAACGTGCGAGTTCTCAATAAACAAGCTAGAGGGAAATCAGGTGGGAGATTAGAATGCATACACCATTGGAAATTTCTCAATTGATTTTAAAATTTCAATTTATAATAAAAAAATAACGAAAATTGATAAAGAGAAAGAATACGAAGTAGTAAAATGTCAAGAAAAAGAAAAAAAATGGCAAAAAATTTCAGAAAATCGTTAAAAATCCAAAGAGAATGAATTCAAAACAGCTCGAAATTATCAGGTTTAATCGCAAATTTGCTTGGAAAAACGTAGAAAAATGACGTCAAAATGTTTGATTCAAATGTTGAAGTAACTGAATAGCTTAAAAGTCAATTGAATTTTATTCGAAACCAGCAAAACTCGGAAGAAATCGTGCAAATCAACAATTTCTTTTGAACTGATAAAAATCCTTCAAAATTGGTGTGTGTTTCTCCATAAAAAAAGTGAGGAAATTGTTGATAAAATGCTTGGCGTATAAATTGCGGATCATTGTAAGTTTGAATTGTGATGTGTGATGTAGTGCAAGTTGAAAACTTTCTTTATTCCGAGCATATATTGTCGAATGGAATTCTTGTGCAAAGTTTGCCGGTACGTGGTGTACGTTTTCTTCTCTGTGCATTGCTTCGGGTGAAAGAGAGCGAGAGCGATAGCGACATAGAGAGCAAGCGGGCGAAAGAGAGAGAGAGAGAGAGAGACTGAGAGTGAGGCTGGATGTCAAAATGCAGTTGCTAATTTACAAGCGCATTACGAGAATTATACGAGCATAGCATACACACACAAGGATGCTTATGCACAATACTCACATAAATAACATATTTACCCATTATTTGCTATACAAATATTATTCGAGATCGTCCTAATCGTTTCGACTATCCTGTTAAATACAAAAGATGCACACAACGCATTCTATTCACTTTGTAAAAGGTTTGACTTTTATTCACTTTATTTGTTTATTTGAGCCAAAGTTTAGTTTCCTTCTCTCTCTCTCTCTCTCTCTCTCTCTTCATTCTACTTACGTATTGTTGTTGTTTCTTCCTCGATTTCCTCTTTTGTCCGCCTTGTTTCCTAGTACGCGTTGTGAGTGCAGTTCAGTGGGGCTGATTTGTGGCCCGACAGTGTTACACATGTAAAATGTGAGTGAATGAGTGTATGTGTGTGAGTGCGCGCGAAAGTAAATGCACTTATTTGTTGACTTGCCGACAGGAACGTATCGAACGGAAGAAGATAGGTAGTAGGAAAGCAAACAACAATGCTGGCTTGAAAGAAGAGAAGAAGAAAAAAAACAGCAACGTGCAAACGAACACATAACATGGTGAAAAGAATGATAAGGAATAGAAGAAATAGTGTGAATAGAAGCCGACCAACCGAGACATTGAGACTAACAGAGAGTTCACACGGCAATCGTACCATCGACGGTGTGTGTGTGTTTGTGTGTGAGTCGAATATTATGCAATACTGCACGTTGTGTGCTGATTGATGCTGCCTTTCTCTCTCTCTCTCTCTCTCTCTCTCTCTCTCTCTCTCTCTCTCTACCTTTTATTTC